ATTCGCAGCATGGTATGCAAGTACCAGTGTCTTGAAGTGGATTCTAGCAGTTACCGGAAGCCAGTGAAGTGAGCGGAGGAGCGGAGTGGTGTGGGAACATTTAGGAAGGTTGAAGACCAGACGAGCCGCTGCTTTCTGGATGAGCTGCAGAGGTCGGATGGCACATGCAGGTAGACCAGCCAGGAGGGAGTTGCAGTAGTCTAGGCGTGAGGTGACGAGAGCCTGGACCAGAACCTGCATCGCTTTCTGGGTCAGGTGGGGAGGTATCCTCCTGATGTTGTAAAGCGTGTATCTGCAGCAACGGGTTGTAGCAGCGATGTTTGCAGTGAAGGACAGTTTGTTATCTAGGATCACACCCAGATTCCTTGCAGTCTGAGTCGGGGAAACAACAGAGGTGCCGATGTTGATTGTCAGGTCAAGAGTGGGACAATCTTTTCCTGGAAGGAAAAGCAGTTCAGTCTTGTCAAGGTTGAGCTTGAGGTGATGAGCAGACATCCACTGAGAGATGTCTGCTAGACAAGCAGAGATGCGTGCGACGACCTGGGTCTCTGAGCGGGGAAAGGACAGAATTAATTGGGTGTCGTCAGCGTATGAAAAACCATGAGGGCTAATGACTGATCCGAGCGAGTTTGTGTACAGGGAGAAGAGGAGGGGACCATGAACAGAGCCCTGAGGTACCCCTGTAGTTAATTGACAAGGGTCGGACTCGGACCCTCTCCAAGTTACCCTGTAGATACGGTCTTTGGGGTATGAGGTGAGAAGGGAAAGTGCAGAGCCTGAAACTCCAAGTTCTTGGAGAGTGTGAAGGAGGATCTGATGGTTCACCATGTCGAATGCAGCAGACAGGTCCAAAAGGATGATGACAGAGGAGAGGGAGGCTGCTTTAGCAGTGTGCAATTCCTCAGTGACAGCAAGGAGGGCAGTTTCTGTGGAGTGACCTGCCTTGAAACCAGACTGGTGCGGATCCAGAAGGTTGTTCTGATGGAGATAACAGGAGAGTTGTTTAAAGACAGCGCGTACTTACAGCCAATCAGCTCTGAATTATGTGAGATGACGTATGTGGGGATGGCAGCTCAATGCCCCTATGGTCATTATTTTAAATAAGATTAAATAAGAAAATATTCTGAGCATGCGCAGTGTAGTTTTTATAGTCACCATTCACTTAGACAGTGAGAGGGAGGGGCATGATCGGGTTTTGTCCCACATGGCTCTAAACAGCTCAATAGGCACACACTGTAGACACTAATTAGAAGAACACAGACTAAAACAGCAACGTACAGACGAATCAGATGATTAAACATGATCTTAAAATATATTTTATATTTTTTTAATTTTGCATTTTTTTGTAATCATTATTTGTAATACTTTCTGCTGACACTAATGACCAGTCACCACTGATTACACTCACCATAACCAATTATATTATCCATTACTGTTGTCCTATTGTTGTTGTTTAGTGCTTTAAAAAACATGTTTCAGATTACAGATAAAACAGGTATAATATATGAAATGTAGAATCACATAACAACAGTACATCCTTTATGTTGGTTTCTCCATTAACACTCTATTAGTTAGCACACTGTCAACAGCTGGCTTACTGCATGAAAACATGGAGAGTAATGGAGAGAAAATTACTAAGAGGCAGAAAAAAGAATTATTTGAAAATCTGGAGAACATAAGTGAGATTAAAATAGTTGTAGTGCTGCAGTACAAATGTTGAGTTGGGAAGAGACAGAGAGAAATGGTTTTAATTAACATTATGTAAACCACTTCTCAAGATTCTAACAATGACCATGGATAATTAATAGGGATGCACGATATTGGTTTTTTGAAACCGATACCGATAACTTCCTGCTTCTCAAGACCGATACCGATACCAATAACAACACATTTTTTACTAATTATTTTAACGCATGTGTATTTTTTTTCCTTGGCCGCCCCGTAGTTTCAGAGCGCATCAAGTTTAAAATACCATCTACAAGCTGATGCTGACAGCCCCGCTCCTGTCGCCCGCTTGTGGCACATACACACTTCCACGCTCACCGGCAGGCACCGACTGGCCATCTGGAGGACCGGGAGGGTGTGTGTATGTGTGGCCCGAGCGACCGAGAGAGAGACCTTACGTGCATTGTTGTTGTTAGCATCTGGTGCTAGCTAGCTGCGCTAATGGATATAAGGAGCTGTTTAAATGAAAACAGAGGAGCGACATTTCGCCACAACTGCGCCGAGCACTTGACTTTATGCAGGAAGCCAGACAGTGGGACATTGTACGAAAAGTCAGCACACTCAGCACGGATAGTGCGAAACATGATTGCAGCGTCCAGGCAGCTCCCGTTCGAGCATATGCCTTGAGTTGCACATAGCTCCAACGCCCATACAACCGACGACATGTTTGTTTACTGTCCTGGCTTCACGGCCGCACACCATTTACGTCACAGCCAGGCATGAGTTAGGGAGCGCTGGATTTGTGAATAACTCCCCTCTTCCTAAACCACTAATACCACAGTACTGGCAAAACGGGAGGAGCCGAGTGAAAAACAAGCGCCCCTCATCCCAATCCACCCACACCGCAGTATTTTTTTGTTTTTTTTTACCCAAAAAATATATTGTATATTATCGGGGCTATTAATACTGGTATCGGGTTTATCGGGATGACGTCATAATTCCTAATATCGGACCGATAATTATCGTGCATCCCTAATAATTAATGCAGTATTATAATGAATAAATAATTGTTCACCAGCCACATGTAGAAATATTATCTTACTTGTAATGTTGTTCTGGCAGTTTTCTACCCTAACATTGCAAGAAGAATGCAAAATAAATTATGTAAGTATATATTCTGTTTGCTTGATCAGAAACATTTATTAAAAATGAATATCTTCCTAGTTAATGGCCTCCATGTTTTGCAGAGTCCTAATGCATGTATGTATGTAAGACTGTAAGCACACAGTCTTTATGAATAGATAACACTGATACTTGTACTATTGTTATAATGCACCATGTTCCATAACTGATTTCATTTAGTGCTGAATAACTGGCGAGTGTGCCATGAGAAACATGTCCATGTCATAGCTGGTCATAGCCCTAATGCTTTGCATACTGTAACCTTTAAAGCATCATCTTATATATACTTAATGCACATTTGTATGGATATAAGTGACACTGATCTGAGGAAGGGATGTATCCTCATGGTAATAAGGCCACCGGTGCAATATGGATTCGCAATAACGAGAATATTTTCAGTGGTATGTAAAACCTTGTATCTGGAAAAAAAAGTAATTAAAGGTGAAATAATTGTTCATTTACGCACAAACATCCACACACTTAATTTTTTAACAATGCTGTGTAAAGACATTGCTTTGTCCTTGAGTCATAAAACGTAATTAAACTAAATGTTGGGGGAGCTGTCGGTGGTCATTTAAAGAACAAGACAAAAATTGAGATACAAGGTTTTTACATAAAAGTGACAATGTAGAAAAAATTGCGCCAGCCATTCTGAAGCTTACTTTTCTCTTTTCATGAATACTGATGTGAACTACAATCCATTTGCAGCCGCACGTTCGCTCAGTCTGCAATTTATGATTCAAGCTGTAACTACCTCATTTGATCCCATCCTTGTTATGCTAATTTCCTCTCACAATGGTAGCAAATCAGTTTGATTTAACTGTGCAAACTGTGTGAGTAGAGGACGGTGCGTGTGTGTGGCGTTTGGGAGGAGCGGTTGCTATCACAGTTGTGTCTGTGTGTCTGAATGAGTTAGCCGATATGCATGTGTGCGTATTTGTGTGCGTGTGTCATACAGCATACAGTTGTCAGAGAAGTGAGAGGTGTTTTTGTGCCAAAGCCAAAGCTCCCAATCTGCATTTTGATGTCATTAGCTTGCCACATCAAGGTGCTTCAGTGGTACTTTAAACCCAGATTGTGTTTTCAAGAGCACTAAACAGGATATGGAATGAAAGGCTTAAAAATACCCCTCATAATGAAATCATAAATAATTGTAGGTATTGCTTGTTTAGTATTCTACATTTTGGGGCGATTTCTTTTTGTCAGTATAGTGAGAAATTGAAAAACAAATATTGGGTTTTGTGTAGTGAGAGTAATCATCACTCTTTCTTGCCACACACACTTACACACAGACAAACATTATTTTGTATTTACAAGAAGATAACAATTTACACCCATAAAAAACTACTGTAGCCTACTTCCAAATTATAACCACTTATTAAAGCAGCATTGACTTATGACGTAGCCTAATATAAAGATGATATAATAAAGTTAGAGGATAAAGAAAATCAAGAGAGAAAGTGATGGTCACCATTTCAAAGTTGAGCTTTAGAATGTTCCAAGGTTTCAGTTTGATCCTGTCTCACTTTCGCCTCCTCTTCCTGCATCTTTAACATTTATTTTACAAAATTAGTCAGCTGGCTGGGGGTGTGACTAAAACAGTTTGCAATGTTGGGGAACAACGGGTATTTTATAATTTATTTATTGTTAGTATTATTCAGTCATGCACAAGGCATACCAATAATCTCTGCAACAAACAAGTGCAAAGAAAAAATCATCTTGTCGCCCAACACATTGGTAAGGTAAGACGTTGACACAATAGAGGAAAGGTTTACACAGAGAACTTATACGGCATGTGGTCTCAGTCCCCCACAGATGATAAAGTAGTGGTATAACCTATTCTAGAAAACAACAAAATCAGCAAACTAAAGGCACACACACACATTTCATTGTTCTTTGGCCCTTTCTCATTTCTCTAACTCCCCTCCTCGACTCCTATCCTCGAGACTTAGTCCCGCCCACAGGAGATGCGAACGGAGGAGTCGAGGAGGGGAAGCAGCAGGCGGTTAGAGAAATGAGAACTCCTCTCCTCTGAGCGGTCATTTTAAAGAGACGTCCGTTAATGATGACAGGAGGCACAGCAGCCCTCTGTCTGATGGACAGATGTGTTCATGACGACTTATATATTTACTTTTAATTCATTCACAGTGCGGTATAATGAGACAATAACAGGCTACATATGCGGACACACACACCCACCGATTTTCCACAGATCTTATTTCTTTTACAATATTCCAAAATCCTATGGAGAAATCCCATTGCTTTTTGTCAAGGGAAGCAGCAGCTTACTTCAGGGTCGTCCTACAAAAATACTTCATCACTGCACCTCTCTATTTCAGGCTGATAACCAAAAACACATTAACTTCAGTGTAGTGCTTATTGACATTAACAGGACATTGAAGCAATGGTGAAATACATTAAGTACAGAGATATTTTACTTAAGTAAACCACTGCATGAAAGCTGTTAGAAACAAATATTTAAACATTAACAAAGTTTATGTTCTTCTGAATACATAACCATTTCTTGGAATCAAAACTAAAATGGTGAAACAAAAACCTACCGCACCCACAACATTTTCTTTTACATGAGCAATGTCCGATGTCAAGACGCCATTGTGCTAATACAGCACTAGGCCATGTTTTGGCCCAGAGGAGGAAAATGTTGTTTTGTTTGTCGTTACTCTGAGCTTTGAAGTCTGCCATACAGACTTTGCACTTTGGCGGACATCTTGTGTTGGTCAAGCTGCATGATTATTTTCTGAACTACTTCAAACGTGAAATGAAGGGGTTTTGGATATGCTATGTTGAGTGCATATAGCAAACCCAGAAGGAGGGCACAAGCTGAGGCAACTGAAGGCAGTTCATTCAGCACCTCCACGCCCTCGATGATGATGCCGATGTCTGCTGGTGGCTCCTGCAGTCCTTCCCCCTCCTTCCGTATCACAAACACACCCATTGTGAGCTCCTCCATCTCCTTCTGAAGATCATCTGTTCTGGAGTCCTAGAACAGGAGTACATGACAACAAACATCACTGGCATCACTTTGCACTAATATGGGACAATAATATCACTGGCCGGAGTCCTACTCTGTGATAACTCACTGATTATTCGGACGACTCACATGATCAGAACCTAATATTTAAAAATGCTAGGACACCCTGAACTCACATATTGCAGATTGAAAATAATATCCCTCTTACTTCTATGTTTAATTGTTATTCCAGCTTGATCTACTATGTATATATATTTTTCATTTATGTTGAGAAGGATTAATATTAATATCATTCAATTGTTGTCAAATTGTGGATGTGCTGTGTGTGTATGTGGGGGGGGGGGGGTTGCCGTGCATTGTTCTGTGTTAAAATGTGTAAAATTCAATCAAGAGTATTTTTTTTTTAAAAACATGCTAGGACTACTTTTTACATATACATGTTGTGTTTCGCAGTATACTTGGGAAAATTACTAAAAACCCAAATTCCGATGCTATGCTTTAGTTATCCCTGATGAGCAGGTTTGTTTGTTGGTAACCTTTATTTATTCAGATTGGTCCCATTGAGATCATAGATCTCTTTTTCAAGGGAGACCTGCAGCATATAGGTTCCACATGAAACATAAAACAATAGAGGATATCATACAACATATTTACAAGCTACATTTACATACTTAGGTGGCATGGTCCATCAGTGTATGAATGGGTGAATGTGAACGTGCACAAGTGCTATGAGGAGTTGGAAAACCACAAAGGTGCTTTAAACTTACATGATGTCAAATGTCCAAGATTATGAATATAATCAAACCCGACAGGTGTTATTTTAGTAGAGAAATGTTCCTTTTACAGCATTAATATCAAAGCACGTGTGCCTTTGACAAGCTGTGCTGACATACAAATTGCAGTTAAAACTTACCAGATATTCCTTGATATTCCAGCTCATCTGGATCTTCTCCCAGGAAGATAATGAGGGCTCTCAGGACACACTCCCTCCGAAGATGAATGTCTTCAGTCTAGGACAACATTATTTCGGTTAATTTTATTTTTCAAAATGTCTATTGACAGATTTCCTTACTCTTACAGCTAAAATCCTTCACTTTATTTAGAAACAAATGGACACTCCTAGTTACTGAGTTTCATAAAACAACGGTTGCCCTCCCATGTATCTATAAAAGGATACACAAAAGGTATCCCTTTTAGCTAGCAAGGACTCATTTGACAATGCAGATTTACCTGGTCAAAAATGTCCATGATGTCAGCAGTCTTTTGACGTGTTGATCCTCCTTTGGCACGGATGACTGTGATTAGCTGACTTGAGTGAATGTCCAACTGGGCCATGAACTTCTCCTCAAGAGGAATGGTCATTATCCTCTGGAACTCTGCATTGATCTATGAAAGAATAATACAAAAATGAGTAAATTCAATTGGACTCAGTCTGTATGCAATTAACATTTGAAAAAATAACCATTGAAGCAAGTGTAAACTTCTTCCGACCCCTTTTCGGACGTGTAATTAGCTAAAGCTTTGTTGTTTATTGATACCAAACAATGATACTACAGATTATTCAATTATTAATTAAATGTTTCGTTTTGTTATTGCATTCATTTATATAATACTGTATCACCTTTTGTTTCATTTGTATTTTTCTTTGGTTTTACACGCTCGAAGAAAAAAAACTAAACTAAGCATGCCTACACACTGGCAAAAAGTATAACAAACTAAAAATGTAAATTCTGTCAGTAAACACTGTTAAACATAATCTTTACCACACCATATTATGATGAATGGATAAAAGCTTACTAAAAAATTGATACAGACTAGATTATTACCTCTTTGTGTTGGAACAGTGCCGGCCACCTGTCTTTGAAGTCCTTGATTCTTGGCTCTTGGTTTACCACCTCCTCTCGTCTGTAGGCGAACGTGTGAGCCATTTTGTCTGCGATGACCCTATTATTGTTCCTTATCCTGATGTCTGTCAGAAGTTCTAGTCTTTCTTTTTCCAGGCTTTCCAGATTGGCACCAGTGGGGAAGGATGGATAAAAGTTAGCCTCAGCTCGCTTTGGCCTCTTGACTTTTTTAGCAGGGAAAGCATCTGTAGCAGCTTTAGATTTCAGGGAATTTACCACCAGCTCTGGGCACCCCTGCAATTTGAGCTGAGTCCTGTAGTTTCCCATCTTATATTTCAGGCGCTGTTTCCATCCATTGCAGCCATTGAATGAGCCAGGTTCTTTCAAACAAGGATGCTTTTTGATAAGAGCCTCTGCTCCTGTGCAGAAATGTGAATCATCTGGATAGGCCTTGTACCCGTAAATTGTTTCTGCAAGTCTATTCAGAATATCAGACTTGCTTCGGGAGCTGACAGTCAACATTTTGTGGCTTCCATTAAACTCAGAATTCCCCTTCACTAGCTGCAGCTCCGTGTCATATGAAAATTGAGGAATAGGAAAGTGCGCTGGCCACTGTTTGGCTCGAGAGGACACAGATTCGGGGGATGAGAGGATTATTGTGTCATCTGATGCCAACGAAACATTGCCATCACACTCAAGTGAAGACGATGATGTGGTATCAGTGGCAATGTTCAAAGGTGTATTTGTTTGCTGGTGGATCACTTTGATTGTTCCCAAATCCTGAAGTTGAGTGGTGGAATTCAGATTGAAGAAGTCGTTGCCAAAGTCTTGGTCCATGTACTGCAGTCTGACGTCGCCCTTTAACCCAAAGAAAGTCTTTAACTTGCTGAGAAGGTCATCCAATGATTCCGGTATGCCATTTGGAAGAGACAGTTTTTCAATGTTGTTCTCCCCCAAAATCACTTTCAGTCTTGCAGGCGTCGAATCAGCCATGGCAGTCTGAGAAGACAACACAAGCACAATACGTTTTAAGAAAGGCGCATTAAACATAATTCTTTATTATTCATACTGTTAATGTATCATCTTATAGATGTGTTATCAGTTTTCAGTAAAAGGACTACAACTTTGTGTAAATCCCTTTTCCACTGGCGGCATTTGCTGACTGGACTCAATCAGCACATCTTTAAAAAATGACATAATGCCCACCCTTACCCTCAATGTTAGGTTCCATCTGCAGTTGACAACTTGTATGTGCAAACAAATTGAATGTTATCATTTGAAATCTCCAAAGGGTTGATAGTTAGTCTTGCACCAATAACAAATATGTATAGGAAGTCATACAAAAACAAATATATTGTTGTTTTGCAGGTGAAGCATTAAAACTCTGACCACACAAAAAAAGCCCACACATTTATATATTTTCTGATATTTACCTAGTGTAATTATTTGTTGGTGAAATGATAAATAAAACCTTTGAAAACAAAAAAAAACACTGGTATGAAATAAATCTGTTTTGAGAACACAATAGTTATGAATTATATCTTTTTCCACCTAATGAAATATCACTTTTAGCTTCCTCACCCTTTAAACATGGACATATCTTTTCAATGTGACAAGACGCATCCCTCGGATTGTGTAGTCTGCCAGTGGGTAGGAATCATGTAGATCTTGTGGCTCAAGAAGTTCCACTTCCTTGCCTGGTGACATTTTGAGATCATAAGCTCTATAATGTTCAATGTATCATCCACTGAGCTTTTTCACAATGAAGATCAACTTGTCCTGCAGTATCACCATTTGGAGGATTTCACTAAACTCTGGAAGTCCTCCCAGAGACCCATAGATCAAGATCATGCCACACTTGTAGTTTAGTCCATCATATGTCACAGTTTTGGCAAAGCTCACTGTATCTATATTTGAAGACTTCTGTCTCAGGGCATTTGAAATGTCCTTGTTCAATACATCGATGTGTACAGTGGATATATTTGTCACTTCCAATGGAGGTCTGGCAAAGCTACACGAGTGCAAATGATATGCCATCTGAAACTGATGTTTCTCTGAAAGGGAAAGGAGCACATTTTTGAAGCACCTGATATTCCTTGCTACTCTTTTAAAAAAGCTATGCTTTGCTTCAAAACGCATAGTCCATAGGTGAACTAGTGGACCAAACTGATGGATCAAGTATGGATAATGCTCCAAAAAAAATTGTGTTTTGGTTTAAGCTTAACGTCTGGGAAAACCTTTTTGAAATCTGATTCTGTGCTCAGAGATCTTGAAATCAAGATATGCAATGGAGTCCTCAGTATGAACGGGACAGACCACAAGATCAACAATGTCCTTCAGATCTGTTAAGATCTGCCAAGCTGGTTCCTCACTGGGAACATTATGTCCAATCAAAAAAGGCAAAAACCTGATTAGACTCCAGTTCTCATGGGCATTTCCCCCAACAGTTTTTCTGGACCCAAAACTAAGAGGCACAGGATGAGGTCGATTGGTTTTGTCAGTCCACTTAAAGTTGAAAGATGATATTGCCTTGTTCAATGTAAATAATGTGAAATACTTTTTTTTAATGAATATATTGAGACAAAGTGCAAGTTCAAAAGGAACAATTCCTTCAAAAAGATCGTGCACAATATCTGGAGGAAACCCAGTTGTAACATCAAAATATGAAAGGTGCTCTGACAAAATACACTTTGATTTCACACCATAGTAGTTGGGCAATCCATTTTCCTCAAGGATTCTTAAATGATCTGCATGAATGTCTTTGGTTCTCAGAGTAAAGACTCCACTTTTAACTTCTTTTGTCTGTAAGTCAGATTTTTCTGCAGTGCAAAATCTGCATACGTATGACCCTGTGAAATTTTCAACAAATCCAGCAATACCATGCGCGCCTAGGTTGTCAGCGACCACACACTGAACTGTGCCTTTTACTGTTCTTGCCAACTTTGTTAGAAATATCCCACTCTGTTCCAAAATGACAAGATCCTTAATTACAGGTTCTAAAACTTTCTCATAGCCATAGCACTTCAGATCATCAGTTTTGATTAAAGCAGCCAAATAGATGGAGGACAAAACAGAGTTACAGCCTGGTGGCAAATTACCCAAAATCCAATACAAACCACAAATTGTATGCTTCCTCCTTGATGTACCAAGAGGATTACATATCTCAAAATCATCAATATATAATATCAATGAAATTCTTTCTTGTTTAGGCAACAGTTCATTTTGTTTGAAGAAGGCACCATCAAAAAAAGATCTGTATGTGTGCACACAAGTTCTTGGTGGCTGTTTATCTAAAGTATTCAAATTACTAGCCTGGTCTAAGATAGTCTGGCAGTCAAGAATTTGCTGCAAAGACTTTAATATTGAAATATATTGGAACGACTTTCTATTCTTTCTGTCAAGTATATATTCCACTGGTTCAACTACGTTAAAGTGTTTCTTATAGTAAGCCTTTCGCCTCCAAGCACTGCAAAGTGGACCTTTATGTTCAATTGCTTGTTTAACAGGGTTTGTATCACAGAGTGCACTCGCTAGTTTTTTAACCACTGACTGGTCAAACTGGCATCCGTTATCTTGTAATACCTTGCCAATAGTCGTCTGAGTGATTGGCAGAGAAAGAGAACCTATCAGATAATGTAACTCCTGCAAAAGCTCATCTACAGCTGCACTAGACACAAGAAATACATTTTCCAATTTAAGGAGGACTAAAGCTATTTTAAGCTCAATATCCTTCTCCAAGTTCTCAGTATGTCTGTTGTCCAAAGAACAATTCAAATTTGCATTGCTCTCTATACTTTCCCTATCTGAAAAATCATCACCAATAATGGCAGAAGATTTTTTAACAGAAGTTATGCCAGGCTTAAAGGCATTTCCTGGGCCAGAATGTTTCCTGAATTTATGACTTTTAAAGTTCTCATAGACGTTGGTTTTATATTCACACTCTCGGAACACGCATGTTACAGTCTCATTATTTTTAAGATGCTGGAAGATGTGTTGAAAATAGTGTCTTTCTGTGGAGAGTTGATTATGACCACAAATATGGCATGTGAACGTGGACACAGCTTTGGTGGCTGTTTGTTGGGCAGGGTGATTTCTTGATAAATGGCTTATTAGAGAATTCCAGGTCTTGAATCTACATGTACAATTTAAATAAGTACATGGATATGAATGACCCCGTCCGTAGCTCCCATGACTCAGTTTGTAGTGCTTGAGCAGCTCAGATTTTATGTAAACACCCTCCCACAGTCTTTGCATCTCCACATGAAGCATGACAATGAAAAAAACAAAAAGGTGGGCTTTACTGAGAGTATCTTTATAGGTAAAAAATAATTTGTATATTAGCTTTGGCTGAACTCTAAAATTAATAACTCCACAGAAAACAAAACAGTGGATTTTGTCCTATAATCACCTGCACTTTGCGTTTACGTTGAAATTACTTTCAGAACACACAGTCACATTAAAGTACTCTCTATATCACTCACAGTAGTGTAGCTTCACGTACCTTAGGTAGTAGTCCAATACGATGTGTCAAAGCCTGAAGAAACCACCACCAGTCAGGCATGAGAAATCATGAGAAGAAAAATAAATACATTTATATTAGGGGGGACATTTCTATTCGTTGTTAAGCTTTCACAGTCACCTATTATCACCCCAAACATAGTAATGGTCTTATCAGCAACAGCAAATTACACTACAGGGCTTCTTATTAGCACATTAGCACAGCAACACAGTGCTGGATAACGCTTTAACCATCGAGCTACTATAAATGTGAGGCTTTATCAACGCCGTATCAACCACTTCCAGCATAAACAAGAAGGCAGTCCCGCCATCGAGGCGACCGGCACAACAAATTAGTACTGCATCTCCCACACACCGAGGTTAACTTCTATGTTCGTCAGCCGGATGCATCACCGGGCTTTCACCAGCGCAACATGCCCCATCACTGCTCGGTGATTCCGTATCGTCTTTATAATTACACTCGACGCAACGGCGGCGACACCACATTAAACCGTTCACACAAACACGCCAACATAGTACAAAAAAACGTGTGCTGTTTGGTGACAAGCTAATGTACTAATAACGATAGTTAGCCTAGCCTTAACATGACCCAGTTTGCGCATTAGTTTGCGCTAATTTGGTAATAAGCAGCTACGCCAGTACACAATAGGAATTACTTTAACACATTTCAGTGAAAATATTAAACCAAGAGAGTAGGCTTCTACCCGCAAGTAACCAACTATCGTCATGTTTGAGCTAAAGCTATCGGTTTAGCTAACAGTGGAGACAGTGCATCATAGCTTGGTTCCTTCAGTTTTCAAACGTTAAGGCTAAATATTTGCAACAACATTTAAACAATTTAGGTGGAACATGTTATATCTGACATTGTACATTATTTTTATATAAGAAATATAACTTGTCTGAATCACACTTACCGTATGTCGAAGTCACGTCTCAAGAGAAAAAGGCGGCAATGTGACGCTGGAATGATCTGGCAAAGACGTTGACGTTGACGTCATGACGTCACACGCACGTTAGATGCGTGAAACTTGATTGATTTGCTTTCACTGATAACAAAATAGCAAATCAAGTCAACGAACAAAAAAATCACATGAATACAACCCACAAAAGTACATTGGAATCTCTAAAGCAGAAATCTGAATCAGATTTATTAAATGTATTAAGTTACTTCAACTACTATCAAGTACACTTTTTAGAGTGAGGAGGGGGATTTGATGAAATGAGAAAGGGCCTTTGTTACGTGCTCTGTGTTTTTCTCTGTCTCTGCTGCGCAGGTGCACCTGATCCGCCCCTGGCTCCGCCTCCCCCAGGTGTCCTAATTGCATTCAGCTGGGGACGACTTAAAAAGGGAGAAGCTGGAGGAGAAGAGGTCTATTTTGCCTGCCCTGATGCTAGGGAATACGACCGTGGATTTTCTCTCACCTCGTGTGGATTTATATATACGTTGCTGTATTTTTTTTGTGTGAACTCTGGAGGATATTAGTATAGATTTTTCGCGGCTTTGTTTCCTTCCCAGTAGGCTGTGTTTGGACCTTTGGGTAGAGGAGGGAATTATGGGTCCTACGGCTCATGGTGTGGCTGGCCCAGGCCCCCTTCTTCTTTTTTTTGTTTGTTTTACAATCCTCCAGACTTAGTTCCTTATTGCCGGTAGGCATGCATGTGAGTTACGGCTGTGCTGAAAATAAATGCCCGTCGATAACTAAATTCTGTATTTGGCGTGGTTGTTTTTATGTTGCGGGTCTTCCCACGGAAGAGAAGGAAGTGTTACCGGAGGAAACGGGCGCTACCTATTTATCTAAAGACGAGGAAACTGAGGTAGCTCCAACAATGAGCGAGCTTGCAGCTTCAGCTGGAGCTACGTAAATTAATGATTAGAGAGAAGGAGATTGATAACAAGCTAAGAGACAAGGAGATCGACTGCAATCTCGAAATCAGGAAAATAGAGGAGACAAATCGAATGCTTCGTTTGAAGGAGCTGGAGTTATCGGCAGTGTCGCACCAAACTCAGCAGTTGGGATCCGCACATCCTCATGAGTTTGATGTGGGTAAATACACCCGATTTATTCCAGTGTTCAATGAGAGGGACGTGGATAATTTTTTTATTATTTTCGAACGGGTTGCAACAACCTTGAAGTGGCCTATGGATGTGTGGACTGTGATGCTGCAGTGCGTTCTAACGGGGAAGGCTCAGGAGGTATACGCTGCATTGTCTGACGAGGTCAACCGGGATTATGGGCAGGTGAAAGCAGCAATTCTGCGCGTTTATGAGCTCGTGCCAGTGGCGTATCGTCAGAGGTTTCGCAGTTTCATAAAAAGGGATTCTCAGGCTTACGTGGAGTTCGCTCGTGAGAAAAAGGGACTATTTGATCGGTGGTGCTCGTCGACAGGGGTAAGATCTCTAGAGGACATGAGAACTGTAGTGGAAATTTATTTACCTTACCTTATATGCTAAAACCAAATGCTTCTAAAAGCATTGTCTAACACTACTGTACAATTTTCCTATTATGTGCTGTTTTCTCTGCATACTCTAATGAGGGGTTTTATTCCCAAGCGCTTCAAGGCCACAGAGCTGATTTGGCAGACTATGTTGAAACTACTTCTCTTCACACAAAGTCTCACAAGAACTTCCCTATTCTGAGCTCAAGGACAGGTGTCTAATAACAATATGAGACCGTGTGACATAGCCGCGGGAAGTCATTTTGCTCAGGGGGTGCTGCCAAAAGTGGGGAGGTAGCCGCTTTAAAAAAAAAAAAAAAAAAAGGCGGTGCCGGGCCCAGCTGTCAACGATACGAGCCGCATACATTGTTTGTTAAAGGCGAGACACGGCAGGCAAAAACATCGTTTTTCATGCACTGGTCAATTTTGAGATGTTGTGCTATTTTGATTCCATAACATGTTTTCTTTCAGGCTTTTGGAAGGAAAACATACAAAATACACATTTAAATGTTCATTTTACTATAGTTTGTCTATTTGCGTCTGTATATTTCTCCTAAATTCACCAAAAGTTAGCATTCTAATGTAACATAAAGTACCGCGACCGCTGTTTGCACAATGTCATCGTTGGAAAGCTCCGTCTCTCCTGCACAATCTCATCGGATCCAAATATGGTCATTTCCTTTGTATCAGCAACCAATCGTGAAAGTACAAAAGGGTCTTAAACCAAGAAACGAAATCTCATTGGCTGGTGTCAACTTCTGACAACGTGATTCGTTCAGATGCGTCACGTGATGTGCTAAAACATTTCCTGGTTAGCTTTCCGCTAGAAATTTAGAGCTCAAAATGGCAAAAAAACGGCGAAAAAAACGTTCACAGAGAAGACAACAACAATTGTCACTTGCACGAAGCAAGGTTATACAAAAAACAAATGACCCCGAACATGAAATACCTTCACGGAGTGCGTCGATGCGCAAGCTGTCATCCAAAGAACAGGAGGGTTTAGCTAGCGCCTCACTGCAATCTTTAAAGGTCGTTTTCTCAAAATGAGTTGTTTCTCCTACTCTGAGTTCGAAATGTCCACTTCAGTTGCACTTACATACACCAAACCTTCCAGTTATATTCCTATCAATATTATGAAGGCTTTTACAGAAGGGTTTGTTCATATATCATTCATAGCCTGAATTATATAAGATGTTATACCTAGAAACATGGCGAAAATTGATATTTTAGGGCTGTTGACAGTATTTTCTGATTTATGGAGTGATAAAAAGAGATATCCAAAATCCCTTCAGTAAAAGCCTTAGATGCTAATATGACTACAAAATGAAACGAGAATTTTGAACCTGGCTTTATCCAAAGTTCAGATTTCGGTTCCTGAAATGTGTTAAAATATGCGCAAATTTAATGAGATAATGGATCATTTGCATATTCAGAAAACTTATAATATAATAAACAATTTCCTTATTGTAGGTAATTAACTGTAGAAATTACCCTATTCACCTGGGGTGTCTCGCCTTAACTTTAATAAACCATTATAGACCTTAGCAACAGCTGCACATGCCCACATGCTAACTATGGGTCTTACAAACCTACATAACATAACAAATAGTCAGAAAATATTATTTACAATATTAATAAAACTATGAATTCAATTTTAACTGATTGACAAGGCAAAACACTGCACAGCGGCAGCAGCATTAAAGGAAACCTATCGTCTTACCTTGTGTTGGGGCTTCACAAAACTCCAAATGTAGCCTGGGGTGGCACTAATGAAGACCCTCATTCAGGGCCGGACTGGGACAATAAGTCAGGCCGGGAGTTATACACCCAGCCAGGCCACTACCATTGTTTTTGTGCCATTTTGCTGGATTTATTTGTCAATATTTACAGCGTTGCTGCCCATAGTGATAGCCCTATAGTTTAAATCTACTACCCAAAAATAAACATATGGACATGGGTCACTATTTAAAACAAAATGTGAAAATCTATTTAGGAACCTATCCATGTACACATATTTTAAGTGGGGGTGGACCTCAAATCCTCTAGGGGGGTCCGGGGGCATGCTCCCCCGGTAAGATTTGTGTGTTAAATGTTGGAGTTAAATGCATCAATCTGGTGCATTTTGAGGGGGAAATAAAGAGACTAGATCTATGGAAACACCCATATGAAACAGAACTGTATACATTTAAATAATCATAAGAATATGGCCATAACCAATAACATACCTTATTACATGGCTTAGTTGAATACTCGATTCTGATTGGTCAATTCAGAACATGTGACACGTTGTTAATACCGTTACCGAACAGACAGACTGCTGTCAAGGACTTATTGACCGTTGTTAAGGACGCTCACATCTTCAGAAAGAAGTCCGGTCGATTTAACTGTATACCGTTGGGCAGAAAAGCAAACTGCATTGACAGAACTGTTGTTCAATAGCGCAGCTAGCTAGCACCAGATGCTAACAGCAACAATACAGTAACCGGTGCGCGCGCTCTCTCGCTCGCTCCCGAGCTTGAATGACACACAGAGACCAATCGAGGGCTTTAGTGTATGATCTGTATGAAAGTGGCCATGTCGGCGGGCCACATCATGTAGACAGCCAGTCACCCTCTGTGAGGCAAGACCCCCATTTGCGCAGCGTTGCGTTCACTATACATAGGCTACATTACAAAAAGAATCCTCAGGCCAGCAGGCCACTTAACAGGCCAGGCCATCGGGAAACCTCCCGGTCCTCCTTGTGGCCAGTCCGGGCCTGCCCTCATTAGAGCAGATACATCCACATTGTCCAAAATGTTACTATGGACATGCATTAAAGTCAGTTCAGTCAGACAACTCACGTGTTCCTTTAACATGTTTATTAGAAGCAGCATATAGTTAAGTTTGGCGACTAGGCTCGGGCATCATCACTCCATAGATATACATAGCACGATGAGTGATGATCAAATAACTAACCCCCGAGCCTACAGGTGGAAGCTGGGGTGGAAGCTGGGGTGGTGGTGGGGCAGCAAGCAGCAGCGACGTAGAGGTAGCTGCAGCAATAGCAGCAGCAAGCAATGCATGGAGAGAGATCTGGCAGGTTAAATAGAGCGGCGTATTAAGGAGACTCTGTTTGGTTGGTTGTAGAGTGGCAAGGGGCGTTATGTATGAATGCAGCATAAGTGCTCGAGTTGACTGCCTGAACTAGCTCGCAGGCTTCGCCTCATTTCAGTCAGACAACTCACGTGTTCCTTTAACATGTTTATTAGAAGCAGCATATAGTTAAGTTTGGCGACTAGGCTCGGGCATCATCACTCCATAGATATACATAGCACGATGAGTGATGATCAAATAACTAACCCCCAAAACTGCGTGGAGATTAGATACTATCCCCCAAAACTGCGTAGCCCGAGCCTGACGCTGGTGATGTAAGACTGATAAGTAGAGGGCCTGGCGAGCTGCCATGTGGCCATTCCCCCTAAGCACAGCGGCTTTAAGGGGAATATACTACTTAGTGAGACTGCTATGTGTAGGCCTGAGGAATAGCCCAGAGCCGATTCTTCCCCGAGCACAGCGGCTTTGAGAGGAATATACTACCTATATATACACTACCTAGTGACTGCTATG